CTCCGTTCATCAACTTCAGTAAGTTCCAGTAGCTGAAGAGTATCGAGATGATCTGACTAGAAAGCTGCAGGTAACTCACAGTCATGCGGATGACGAAGATTGCTTAGAGGCTAAGTGGTTAAAGGAAGTACGCTCTCGGTCTTCGGAACTGTCTGTAGAAGCCATCTGACTGGACTGAAGGAACATTGAATATCGTCGAGATCAGCAGATCTTATTGCTGCCAAAGAGGCAATACAAGGAACCAGCAGCTGATATTGCGCACGCAGATCCCTCAAATGCCGGATAATCAGGAGACTGAAGAATGACAGAACGCTGGTGGGTTTCGAAAGCCCAGGAGATGGTGAAGGCTTTCGTTGCAGGCACCAGCCGCCCCCTGTTTCAGTTGATTCGATCAACCGGTCAAAAGAATGCATGTGTCAGGGGACGCCAGCTTGAAAGGCTCAGATCGAGAGCCAGGCTGAGAAAATGCTATTATTACACTAGTTCGAATGTAATATTGATGGGAAAGGAAGCGGTGAGAATAATAAATAGTAGCGCCACATCACCATCGATCGCATAACCATAATTTATTTGAGCTCATTAACGTGAGAAGGGGGTAAAAGTGGATGGGGAAAAGACTTTTTGCTAGCCTACCGCAAGTGTTCCGAGGTGCCTTCCCCGTTCAGACACTCATCCAGACGGCCTGGACAGAAACTGATAATTAGAATGCCGTTGACACCGATTAGCAGTCATATCGTGCGGTGCGCGTAACCATGCTCTGGAGAATCACATCGACCGAATTTTCGAAGGCGAGTCTGGCGAACGGCATCCACATATCGTAACCGCTTTCCTACCCTTCTGTCAGGTCAAATTTGGCCACCTCTTTACCTACATCACTCAGTTGAGTAGAGGACCAGCACCCTCTTCGGCAAACGACGGTACGGTATGCGCAATACGAAACTAGATTACCAAGATTTTGGTGCTAGACACATTCTTCGACTAAAGTCCCTGTTGTTCAACCGAACATCTATCCTCTAATAGTACCTTTGCGGATTCACTGGTATCGACCTACACGAACTATGCTTCTGAGACAGTGGTTATCGAAGACCTGGACATGCTTCATTTTGGTTGGTCGCAGAGGCCTCCTCTCAGCCATACATCTAAACAGCTTGTACTATATCCTGGTACACGTCCGTTGAGGTTCATGGATATGCCGCCTTTCCGCCATAGCACACTTGCTCTGGACTTAATAGATTCGTACATCTACCTCATTGCCGCACTACCGTGTGAACTACTACAACTTCAGAGGTACATACAACATCGGGTCGTAAGTGGTGCTGGCTGCATGCCCAATATTCGCCTACCATTTACTCCTGATTCCTTGGATGAAGCCAAGCTGGTATCACTAGACGCCGGCTTTGGCGTTGTGATCTCGCCAAACTCCCTATATATGACCCGCACCGAAAATCGACAAAACGTATCAGCCGCTCCCATATATGCTACATGCTTCTTGAGGGAGTTCTACCATGTGCCAGCCCTATCACTTCAGTAGCCCCTGATGGATCATTTTTAACCTGTACCTCATTTTCACATTATACCAGCAGTCTCCGCTCTGTTGTTTCCAGTTTCCGTGCGATTCCTAGTGGTGCCAGCCTTCTTCGCTCCTGTGCTCTGCTTCCCTACGTGTTCGTGACAACCGGGTACAAACTGTCGGCATCCCAATACTGATTCGGCTGAGGTCGCTGAATGGGATTCGTCTGTTGCAGTCACATTTAACTTTCATACTCTTTCTTGTTTCGCTCATTCTCTGTCGTGCTTTTTCTAGTTCCCAGCTTCCTGTGGACCCAGCCAAATTCCCCACTTTTCGTCTTTCACCGTGTTGGTGCTGACATTTTCTTAAAGCCTCTAGTGATACGTGCATGCAAAAGAACGTGTGAAAATTGCTTTCAAAAGTGTTGGCTTTCCCTTTTCCTTTCTTGCTCTAAAATTATCATGTCGTCTTCTTGGATAGCAACACGTCAGCATTGGAGAAGTGGAAAGAAGGACCCAAGAAAGTAACGGATGCTAGAACGTTTTTGCAAAATACACCTTTCTCGGTCAAGAGTAAGATGCGTAGCCCTTCGGAGCCATTAAAATCATCATTATCGTTGACAGCTACACCAGATGAGAACATTGGTGCTATATCGTCATACAACATGTTAATTTGTCTGAAGAAAGCTTTGTAATGGAAAGAAGAAATGGCGGGGAGGGAACCTGGGACCAGTCCAGCGGCTACCTACACCTCCAACTCTGTCACACTGAATAGATGCTAATAGCATGAGCGCCACCGACATCGGTTATCCCCATACCGTTCAGTGTTTTCTGCTAAGCACAGGAAAGATGACATGGACCCCATCCAGGAAGGCTAACAGCACTCAAACTTTTCTTGGTATCCTTCATTCCCTTCTGCCGTATCATATTCTGTCCACATGCATGTTTTCGACACTCCGAACAAGGTACGGCAGCGATGCATCGGTTTTGAACACTGATGTCATGCTATCGATGATGGCGATGATGACTCCGAAGTAGGCCCGAGAAACAACGCTTGCCCCTTCTGATCCCTGGCTGCCATACCACCCGACGAAAGCTGGGATACTCTCAGGTTGTCCATGCCTAGACAGGGAAAGTCGAGAGGCAGAGGTCCGGTTCGAACCACGGACCTTCCGGCCAGTAAATTCGCACCACTTGAGTGCCTTCAACGCTTGCCACTGCTGGCGGTAATCCCACGTGAGTGGCCCCGTCACTTTAGTTTGCAGTCCTGAATTCGCTCTTTAAGTGAATTTCTATCTGCTTCACCAAAAACCGGTCTACTGGGCACATCACGAAATCGATGGTTCCAGTCATTTTCAGCTTTGGTCCCGAAACATCGATGGTCAAAAACCTGAAGACGAGAATAGAGACAGAGACAGCGTTGAAATATGCTTCACTGCTGCAAAATCACAAAGTTTACCTAATTAAATTTGAAGCCCAAAAGTGAAAAGAAAAGGAAAGGGTGACAAAGGGTGGGGATCTGGTGTTGGCCTGCCACATGCATTTTCAGGTGCCTTTCAGGTACCTTTTCATGCATGCAATCTGGATATAAATGATATCGATTGACAGCCCTTCATTGCAGTTTCTACGGCCGAGCACAGAAGGTGCTCATGGGGACCGCCCCAAAAAGAACTCCTTCACACCCTTCTGCCAAGTCACGTTGTCCATCTCGTGGTTTGTGCCATTCCGAAGGACACACGGGAGACAACACTCGTCTCGGTAGACGTTTCATCAGGCGCAGCACGTCGCCGAGACACCGCAGTTGGTGATCCTGGAATGTGCTCATGGGACCGCCCCAAAAAGAACTTCACACCCTTCTGCCAAGTCACGTTGTCCATCTCGTGGTTTGTGCCATTCCGAAGGACACACGGGAGACAACACTCGTCTCGGTAGACGTTTCATCAGGCGCAGCACGTCGCCGAGACACCGCAGTTGGTGATCCTGGAATATCTCCCGTGCTACACAACTAAATACCCGTCTCCTAATTGATTTGTTACGAACCGCTGACACCATTCAACACCAGCACCACTTTTTAGACATCGGTGGTCGAATACCTGGCGACATTTCACATCTGTCCGCACAAGTCCTGTCTCGCAACCTTACGGCAATACAATCCTCACTGGTGCCTAATAAACGCAATCCTTTAGATCCACTGATAATAATAATAAATAATCGTTCAGCTGTAACACCCTTTCGGTACGTAGCTGTCATGCAACCCGAAGGAAGCACGAGGGCTGAAATACTGCCAGGTTGCCCAAGCCTAAACAGGGGAAGTCGAGATGCAGAGGTCGGGTTCAAACCACGGACCTTGCGGTCAGGAAATTACCGCTCTAACCACTTGAGTCTTCTCGTCCCTTGCGCCATACTGGGTAGTTTACCTGTGACACTCAGAGGCGCCCGTATATTGGTCACTGGGTAGAGATCTAACTAACAATCTCCTGGTCCCCCAAGTTGGAGGTTTGAACATGGTGACCCGATCCTTAAAAATATAGGCTGCTCTAGCGGTTTCACATCAACAACGACTGTCTTGCGGTTAGGCTTTTTGGCCTCGGGCTTCGGTTGAGAGTCCTGTGTGGGCCCAGGTGCCACGGCAGTATTCCAGCTCAAGTGAAACCACGAGTTGCGCTTGCAAAAATAATTCCATACCACATCGGCACTCGCGTAGTACCATCAGCCGGTTGCCTTAATTGCTGAATACGGCCGTGAAAAACGCCAAGCCTGTAATGAGATGCCAGGTTGCCGTGAAGATAGTGGCGATTGCTGACCTCTCATACCTGGTTGCGGTGTGACGCCAGTTTATCGTTGAGTTGACACGGACGTTAGTCACTTCGTACGGGAGATGTTCAGTAACTTTTTTCGACCATTTCTGCCCGCGCAGCGTTCTACTCGTTAAGTGGTGGGAAGGTGAAGGCATTGCAGAAGTACAACGAGCTGGCTTAGTGGCTAGAGCGCGACTTTATTGACCGGAGGGTCCGTGGTTCGAACCCTACCTCTGCCTCAAGACTTCTTTCTAAGTTTGGGCGATCTGGCAGTATCCCAGATCTTGTGCTTTCTTTTGGTGGCATGGCAGTGAAGCACCGAAAGGGTGATACAGCTGAACCTGCATGACAGGAGGGGCTCTGAACTATGTCATGCGATTTTGGTCGGTCAGCATCGTGGGCTTGGCCATATTATTAGGATTCACCATCATCGACTACCTAACATACTGCATTTATTTCGCTCACTCGGGGTCGGAAGAACCGTTCTGGATCGAGGAGCTGACAGTTGCTTTCTTCTCGACTCTCTCGCTGGGGACCCAAAACTAAATGGTTGTGGTCAAAAAATGCACACGGTGCAGAACCAAAATCAATATTTTTATTTTTATTTTACCACTCTTAACTTCCCTGTTTTTAAATTAGTCACTCCATTATTTTACGCTAGATGCATCATCGTCGCTTTTGCACTTCGCACAGATTCGGTGAAATTTCAGTGCCCAGTTGATCCATCGTTCGACGACAGTAGTCTAGACGCTATAGGCTTGCACGGAATGATCCACGGGGATGATTTATTTGGATCGACCAACAATTGTACGGCGATCGTTCCTTTCAGCCCACCACACGCGGCTACCGATTCTCTCGCTAGCGCTACCCAAACCGGTGATTGTTCGTCAGCTCCGCGTGATGGTGAGTTTCCTGGGTTCATTTTATCGCCTCAGTACAAACTTGAATGAACCTTACGGAGGACGTGGAGGCTGTAAAAGCCTCTTATGACCGATGGAGGACACCGATTGCTATTTTAAGTTTCACTGAATCTGTATCAGACAGCGCACAGCAGAAAAATTGTTTTCCATTGTGCCAACATGTATTGTGCATTGTACTTTCCTTCTCATGTAGCACTTTTACACGACGCTTTGAAGTGGGTATGTCATTGTTGATTTCCTAAGGTTTGTTTCCCATTTCAGTGTTTGATGACCCCAGATATTCTACTGTCTGGTGGTGCCGTTCACAAATTACCTTTTTTCTACGAAGGTTGAATTCCTTTATAAGCTCTTAATAGGGACATATCTGGTCGATTGTGCAGAAACGACACTACATACATTTATTTTTTTGACAAAATAATCAACTGAATCGTTGACTTCAGTCAATAAGCGAACGCCATGTAAGAATCAAACTCCAGTTTTTGCGCCTCCCAAGGGCACTATCATTGGAAAGAGCTTGTCGTACTTACATGAGATCGTCTGGATGAACTTTTCTTGAACTAATCCTGTTTTTTAGCCGAAACAGTGGCGATTTCCTTATAACGAGGAGTGAACTACCAGGGTTTTGTTACAGGATATCGAATGGAATTGCAGGGAACACGATAAAATTTGTTTTCATTATCGTTGTTTAGACTTTCCCCCTGTTCAATGCAGACGGATGTGAAGTCAAATTCTACAAAATGCCTAAAACCCGACGAAGTATTCACCTGGTTTCAGTTATGTGTGCTTACTTTTCAGTGTGAATTTAGGTCGACTTTTTTGCGGTCACTTCATCCTGATCCTATAAACCAACGCTTGGTACACACCTGTCCTCCTAATTGATTATTGTCAAGCCACGAGTGTGTGGTCAGAGTTCTCACATAACTTCACCTTGGTTGCTGATATTATTTGTCCCTTTGCTCAACAAATCCATAGCGGATTCAGTGGGGCTTCGTATGCTGCTATTGCTGCCGCTGCCGCAACGTGACTTGTAGCTTGTCGACTACCAGTACTATCAAACGGCTTCCATTTCTTTTCACTGGGTCGCAACTAGATTACTTATCATTCCGATGTATGCTATGACTCATTTGACGAGGTTTGTCTTCATTAAGTTTACTGACGAAAGACTGAAATACGCCATTTCGCCCCTAAGAAATACTGCCTCCGCCCAGTTGTAAATACCCTCGCACTATCTCTTATTCATCTCCGTTCATCTCCCTTCTTTTATCCCAGCTAACGGCGTCGGTTTCGCAGGTCTGGTCAATTCGGGAATGACGTGCTACATGAACAGTTTATTGCAGACACTATACATGACACCCGAATTTCGCAATGCTCTGTACTGCTGGCGCTTTCAAGGCACTGAGGCAGAAGCTGTCACCAGCATACCCTACCAGCTGCAAAAGCTCTTTGTCCAACTATACGTACGTCTCTACTTTTGTCTTGAAACTACTGCTACCCGTTTCATCTTGTTTCCGAATTTTAGATTTCGGACACAAACTGTTTGAGCAGGTTGTGGTTGTTAAACTGTTTTATGTATTTTTTTTCCATACGGATCTTACTGTAGTGTCTTATATATCTGATGAGTGCTTATTGTCGCGGGCTTTGTGACTCAGTGACCACCATACCAACTATCTTTGTTGCCCTTCAAGGCTACCAAGAATACCGCCGTTAGCACAACTGGGGTCACGACATCTTTCGGTTGGCGGACCACAGACGTTTTCCAACAGCAGGATATCCATGAACTCTGTCGAGTTATGTTTGATGCCTTAGAAAAGAAACTGGGCACCGGAAGCCTGAACCAAACCCCGTCATGTACTTCAACTCTTGGTTATCCGTCTTCCGCCGATTCCTCTATTCATGCACCGACGCATGATCTGATCAATCGACTCTACCAGGGTGAACGGTCTGACTGTGTACGCTGCATGGCCTGTAACCGTGTCAGTTGTCGCCCAGACACGTTTCTTGATATACAAGTCCCCCTTCGACCGTTCGAGATAAATGCTGAACCATATGATAGTTTGGTATGTTTCACTGTTATAGGCGATTACTTGATTTTCGGTCTTATATTTGCCATTCCATCGATTTTGTATCGTTTTACGTTTACATGCTCCACCATTGTACGCTTCATGTACCCGACAAGAGTCCATAACCACGTGGGTCCTTGCTACTACTTAGGAATCTCTTAGACGTGCGTGAGAATCTACGTAGCGTCCCCCGATCCTGATTTCAAGTGAGAACGCTGTTTATATATATATATATATATATATATATATATATATTTATGAGTGGGTG